TGATAATGTTTACATAATAACACATGTACATTAAAGTGCGATAGTATAACATGACTGTATCCAGTGATTTTTTTTCCAATTTTCAAAACAACCTGTGGCTTTCATAAGGGGAAAATATAGCGCAATAAATCAGAAAAGGGGGAAAACCTAAAATCAAATTCCAACAACTGAAAATGGACTTTACCCACTCATTTTATGTAAAAAAATCAATTAAATTAAACATGCATGGTACATAGCAGAGGCTATATATAGGGACATATTTCTGTCTTCTAGATGATGTAAGTCAGATGCTGTTAACTCATGGTTCTGGTAAGGAAGAGCACAAGGCATTTGAGAGGAAAATATTAGCATTTTTAGGGGAAAATATACCTATTTTGGGCTAGGGGAAACAGCCTTTATTCGGCTGTAAAAAACAGTGAAAAAATCACTGGTATCATAAGGCATATCACAAAACAATCTTCAACATTCCTCATAATAAACAATTAATTAAAACAAATATACTTAAAAACCTATATATAGAATACAGCAGTTGTAATTTACTCCCAAGTACATCCATACAGTTAATTTCTATTTGTGCGAATGGCTAAAATACATGACATCACATTCATAAGTAGTGACATCAATTTGGCACCAGTGTGATTAACAAGAGCACCGCTAGGCGGAGCATTATATGCCCGAAAGTGTTTTTTTTAGTAAGAATGAAGCGTTTGTAAGACATGGGAATTTGCTGTTCATCCTATAAAATTTTACAGCTGTAGGTTGATTAACACAAGTTATTTATAATGACCTTAACCTTTGACCTTGTGACCCCAAAATCAATAGGGGTCTTCTACCTTATATGGACAATCATCCTAAGAAGTTTGAATATTGTGGGCCAATTGGAACTTTGATTATGCTCTAGAAACTGTTTTCAGTATTAAGGTAAAAGTGACTTTGACCTTGTGACCCCAAAATCAATAGGGGTCTTCTACCTAATATGGCCAATCATCCTATGAAGTTTGAATATTGTGGGCCAAATGGAACTTACGTTATGCTCCGGAAATTGTTTTTGGTTTTAAGGTAATTGTGACCATGACCTTTGACCTTGTGACCTCAAAATCAATAGGGGTCTTTTGCCCAATATGGACAATCATCCTATGAAGTTTGAATATTGTGGGCCAAATGGAACTTAAGTTAGGCTCCGGAAACTGTTTTCAGTTTTAAGGATATAGTGACCTTGACCCTTGACATTTTGACCCCAAAATCAATAGGGGTCTTCTACCCAATATGGACAATCATCCTATGAAGTTTGAACATTGTGGGCCAAATGGAACTTAAGTTATGCTCCGGAAACTGTTTCCAGTATCAAGGTCATAGTGACCTTGACCTTTGACCTTGTGACCCCAAAATCAATAGGGGTCTTCTACCCAATATGGCCAATCACCCTATGAAGTTTGAACACTGTGGGCCAAATGGAACTTAAGTTATGCTCCGGAAACTGTTTCAAGTATCAAGTTCATAGTGACCTTGACCTTTGACCTTGTGACCCAAAAATCAATAGGGGTCTTCTACCCAATATGGCCAATCATCCTATGAAGTTTGAATATTGTGGGTCAATTGGAACTTAAGTTATGCTCCGGAAACTGTTTCCAGAATCAAGGTAATAGTGACCTTGACCTTTGACCTTGTGACCCCAAAATCAATAGGGGTCTTCTACCCAATATGGACAATCATCCTATGAAGTTTGAACATTGTGGGTCGAATGGAACTTAAGTTATGCTCCGGAAACTGTTTTCAGTTTTAAGGTCATAGTGACCTTGACCTTTGACCTTTTGACCCCAAAATCAATAGGGGTCTTCTACCCACTATGGACAATCATCCTATGAAGTTTGAACATTGTGGGTCAAATGGAACTTAAGTTATGCTCCGGAAACTGTTTTCAGTTTTAAGGTCATAGTGACCTTGACCTTTGACCTTTTGACCCCAAAATCAATAGGGGTCTTCTACCCAATATGGACAATCATCCTATGAAGTTTGAACATTGTGGGCCAAATGGAACTTAAGTTATGCTCCGGAAACCAAATTGCTAACGGACGGACGGACGGACGGACAGACAGACAGACGGACGCCAGGGGGTATAACATAATATGCCCTTTCGGGCATATAAAAAAGAAAGCTGATACATTTTACTCCCTTGTTTTGCCATTTGTATATCTATGATAAGTTGATAACAGACTGATGTTGTCATAAATGATGTACTTTAACACCAAACTATATCTAATCAGTGAATGATATGTTATGGTACAAAACTTTCTATTGTAACTTTGTTACTTTTCCAAAAAAATGCTTGCAGAAATTTTTCTATGCAGCAATATTTTGATGAAAATATGTAGTAACATGATGTCACAGATTTCTGCAAGCATATTGGGAAAAGTACAAGAGCTACATTGGAAAAATATATAAACTATTGGAATTGGTAAATATTTGCTATGAACACGGTAAATGTTTATAATTCAATTAATGATAAATATCAGGGAAAAAATAGCGAATCTATATAAAATTATGGGCATGACCATTTGCAGATACACAATGTTACCATAACAACTGTCACGTGATCACCCACCCTGTTGATAAGAATTAAATTTATAAAGAGAAATGACCTACATGCACTTTTATAAAGTAATATGAAACACTTTTATAAAGTAATATGAAACACTTTTATAAAGTAATATGAATTACACTTTATAATTTATATGCATTAGTTTTGTAAACTAATGAATTATTTTTTTTTTTATAAATTAAAGTATACTGAATTTAAATTTTCTTCCAAATTTAAATTTTCCTTCAGCAATTATATAATCATATTACATGTAATTGCCTAAACTTCATTTTTCTTACAGAAATAATAAATTACATTTATTATATCATATGATTTTTTTTATAAAGCACCCTTATGTATGAACAAAATGAAAAACTTGTCAGAGTGAACTAATTATTACAAATATTATATAAAGAAAGTGTTAAACCATGATTAATTATAAACTTCATATTCTATTCACCAAAAACTGACAAATTGTGAAAATAAAAGTGTGCATTTTTAGTAAGATAAAATTGTGATCCCATCAACTATGAAATATGCTTTTTCGTTTCCACTTGTTAATCTGGGTAGATAAATATTTGTCAGTCACTCAATGTCAGTATACATCAGGCAACCAATGTACAAGTTGTTATTCACTTCGTCTTACAATAAACAATTAAACTTACAAAACTTACAGAAATACCATGTTGATGAACAAAATGAATAAAACAAAATGTGACTAAATTAAAGGTTGATTTATATTCCCATCTCTGACTGACTAGATCAGATGTGCAAATAAATTGGTGATAAATGTATTAAACGTGCTTCTTGGGTACATATATACAATGTGTATGCAAAATTAGCTGAAAATCACAAGATTGGTTTGAGTGAATCTGTCCGCTAAAGATAATAAAGAGTGTCACATCGCACATAGACCACTAAGCAATACAAAATAAATTGAATTCTACACACATAAACTCTATATCTAATACATACATGTACATGATACAGTCAACCCTATTTTGTAGACCAGCTCTAAATAGAGGGACCTTTAAAGACCTCAAATTCATTTCATTCAAGCCTACAGTAAATGACCATTCATCAAACAATTGTACAACTGTGAATATTACTAATATTCAGGAATGAATATTACTAATATTCAAACAATTGTTTTGATAAAATTTATGAACATTACTTGTGCACAACTTTTTTGAGAAATGAACATTACAAGTATACCACTGTTTTGAGAAATGAACATAACAGGTTTACAACTGTTTTGAGTTATGAACATAACTTGCGTACAACTGTTTTGGGCATGTGTCGATTTCAAAGACATAAATTTTTTCTTATTATTGTAGTATTGAATAATTACCTTATTAGTTATGATCAAACATTTAAATGAAATTTTAACACATTATAGTTTTGCGAATAGAGATCTGGACGGATTTATAGATTATGCTACTCAGAAACAATTAATTTACTTTTGTTCAATTTGAATAAAAAATAAAGCCTCGAAAAAAGCCATCTGGAAATTTCTTTAAAAAGCATTAAATTCACAGCCTGCTATGTTACTGATGGGACAAAAACAGTCCTAAATATTTATGCACATCAAAAATGTTAATAAAAATCAAGCAAAGATTTGATTTTGGTCTTATAAAACGACAAGTAACTGTAAATTTGTGGAAATTCCCTGAAATGTTTGGTTCTTATTTCATATGAGAAAAAAACCCAAAAAAACCCAAAAATATTGAAAATATACTCAGAAAATGGTTAGTATTCAAATATTACTCCCTTTTTTGTCATTTATCAAGGAGCATAACTCTGAATAGTAACATATTTTGACATGGTAGAAGACAAATGTAAATTTATGCCTGAGATTTTTTTTTGTAACTTTTCATGTGAAAACACTGTTATTTCCTGATTTGAAATCATATAGAAACTGTGAAAGTTAAGCAATTCGAAATCATTCAAAAATGGGATGTTTCTAACAGATCTTTTACTCTGTTTTTATTCTTTTATATATATATTAACGGAGGTCTGTTTTTATTCTTTTATATATATATTAACGGAGGTCCGTTTTTATTCTTTTATATATATATTAACGGAGGTCCGTTTTTATTCTTTTATATATATTAACGGAGGTCCGTTTTTATTCTTTTATATATATATTAACGGAGGTCTGTTTTTATTCTTTTATATATATATTAACGGAGGTCCGTTTTTATTCTTTTATATATATTAACGGAGGTCCGTTTTTATTCTTTTATATATATATTAACGAAGGTCCGTTTTTATTCTTTTATATATAATATTAACGGAGGTCCGTTTTTATTCTTTTATATATATATTAACGGAGGTCCGTTTTTATTCTTTTATATATATATATATATATATATTAACGGAGGTCCGTTTTTATTCTTTTATATATATATATATATATATTAACGGAGGTCTGTTTTTATTCTTTTATATATTAAGTAAGAATTGAGATAATACCCTATCATATAAAGATGCTAATTGATTTTTTTCAAAGCTATATCTTATTTAATGTTTTGATATTTATCAACTCCAAACTTGAGACATCACATCATTTTTCTACCTATATCTTTATCGTCATCAAAGATGTTTTTCTTCTACTCCATTTCTTTTATCATCTGTGACCTTCACCTGCAGCTCTGTCCCCTGCAACAGCTCTTCCGCAGCGACTGCAATTACGTCGTCCCTCGCCCACGGTTGCATTTCTCCCGAGGCAAATATTCCATAGAATACCGAACCAAAAATATAGAATCCACCAGCTATATAGAACACTATTTGCCACTGTTCCCGAGACTGGTCCTATAAAAACATAAAAACAAAATTACCATAATTTATATTTTTTCAGTACCTATAATTGATTGACCCTTGCAGTACCTATAATTGATTGACCCTTGCAGTACCTATAATTGATTGACCCTTGCACATAAACGTTTGTAAAACAACCATGATTCCAAAGGAAACTTGTCTTCATATCTTTAGATTTGATTATACCTCAAAGAAATCAATTTTACCAATAACCAGATAGTTATGTAACCTGACAATAAAAAATAACTAAGTTAAAAGTGAAATGGTCTATAATGGAAATAATTGCACCGATAGATTCAGTATTTAATATAAGAACAATCAACAAAAGAATCGTGTATGTGTCTTGTTGACAAGTGTGAGATACATGACCTGATATTAGATATATTCATATAGCAGAATGAGATAATAAAATGTTCTAGTACAAAATATCATTATTTATCATCTAAATGATCATACTAAATCACTTAGAACTTTATCAACATTGTTTATTCAAGAAATATTTTATTAGACTTAATTATACAAATGATAGAATTCTATTGTTTTTATCAATTTTTTAAAAATATTTATGGTAAATGTGCCCACTGCAGACGTATCCACTCTAAGCTGCTCTCTATATCTCATGACATTTAGCAAAATTTAGGTAAATTTGATCATTTTTGACTTAATCTTTATTTATATACAACATGAAAGTCTAAAAATAAAACGATATTGGGCTTTTTTGACTGACCAAACCAAAATCCTTATTTTTGTGTTTCCCTGCAAGAATACTAGAAAAAAAAATCATCAGAAGACATTCTCATAAAGTGAAACAGTTAGCACTAAATAAACATATTATCAGAAAGAATATGTACACATAAAGAACTGAAATCATCTCTCAAAATTTATACTAGAACTATAATCATTTTATCAGACAAGTCTTGCATGATTAGTATATTGTGTTTGACAGAAAAATTATTTTTTTTTACCTTCATGCCTGACCCTGCCTCTAAACTAAACAAAGTTAACAAATATTTTTCCAATTACAGCTTACTTAAGCACCCAAGCAAATATCTTAAGACTTTTACCCAACCTGTGAGATTCTTATTCTAAAGGTTACCATTTAATTTTTTTTATCTCTTAACATGAAGTTTTAATATGCTATATACAAACAAACAATTCAAGTTTACTCAACTATTTAGATTTTGATTCTAAGGTAATGAAATGAAATCCTAAAACTATTAAGATTCTCTTTTTTTTTCTCTTTTTTTTTGGTCAGGTTTTAAGTTATATAAACACACATGGCTACTTTCTAGCTTTACTGGTAGAGGAAGATGTTAAGTGTCCCTCTGTGCATTATTTCAGACACCAGCAAAGATTTAAGAAGAACTATCGACTTTTTGTAAGCCATCTTCTTTACTAAAAATCTCCAAAGTCTAAAAGTCTATAGCAGAATTTAAAGTCATATTGTGACTGGCAAGTGGTTAAAAGCCAACCTTGACTATTTGGCTATGAACCCCCCCCCCCCCCCCCCGAGAATAAATGTAATAAGTTGTAACATTATTTTTATACCAAACCTGTGTTTAGAGCATGTCAGTCCCAATACTAACTGATTCAAGGGGCAAGTACAATTTTGCATCAAAGATCCAAGGGAACTGATGTTCAGAACTAGTTAAATTTTCTTGTAGAGAATTTGGGTTTAAAATCATAGCAATTAAGAACATAATTATGTGAGGTAATTCACTAACACACTACTGACTAAACAACACGTAAATGAGGATATTTACTGATACACACTTCCAAAACAACACTGATTCAAAAATTCTAAAAATAGAAAAGATATAAATATATCAAACATTTAAATTACTAAGCTTTAAATATAATTTTTTTTTTAAATGATGTGCAATATCTTATAGCTGCATGCCTCCAGATGAGCCAAAATAATTCAAGAAAATCAAACTTGAGAAAAATGAACCAAGATTTTAAGAAAAGTAAAATGATTCAAGATTCAAGTAATAATTTGAATGTAATGTGCAATTAATGGCTGATTTTCCAGTATAAATCAACATATTTCTACTGCACGACTAACGTTTTCAGAGCTACTTTCTCACATTTTGACCTCTTTTTGGTAATTTGCAGTGTGCAATGTGTAAATTTCTTTCTTTGTTCACTTCACAATATTTCACTTTTAAATACATCTAAAAATTTTCATGAAAATTTGTATGAATCTGGAGGTATGCTGATTTAAGAAAGAAAAAATACATATTTAATGAAACAGTCACAGTTTAGAAGTGTGTATCAGAAAAACACAGTGAATAGAAGGTAAAAAAGTTTGAAAAATTAAAGTGGCATTAATACTCATCAAAGCATAAATGGCGAGTGTACAGAAAAAATTTCAAAAGAATTTCACATTTTGACGTAACTTTTTCAAGTTTATACATGTATTTTACTTCGCATTAATATGAATAATCAATAACACATGTGAATGATGTGACTCAAAGAAATATTCATATTATATAAATTGGCATTTATCAGTAACATTAGGTGTGATTAAAACAGTGAGGTAGTCTTTTATATTTTAAGCAGCTTTTAATATTATATTCTAAACATTTCTCATTATCAATTATTGGTCAATCACTATTACAGTTTACAATTACTGTTCTAAATGTATACACCTACTACAGTTAAACTTGATTTTTTTTGTTTGTTTGTTTCATTTTACGCCTTTTCCCAACAGTATTTCAGTCATATAGGCGGGTAGTTTCCTAACCATCGTTCCTGGAGAGTTACACCAGTACTAGACTACCTTCCTCTGCGCTAAACTACCAAAGCATCTCCCGGGGATCAAACCCACACCAGAGAGGTAACTAGATTAGAAGTCATCGCCCCCTTGACCACAGAGGTGGTATAGCTAAACTTGACAAGCAAAAAATGAGCATACTGCATACTGTCGTCAAGATTTCATTGAGAAAAGTGAGCAATTTCATAGAGTTTTTATATGATGATATTGACAAGAAATGGCAATTTTTGTATCATTATTATTTAATAAGCTCAAGAAATTAGAATATAAAAGAAATACGAGGAAAGCACTGCTCTTTGCACCATATGTAAGCTCTTGTAAAAATTTAAGCAAAACCATCAAGAAGCTGAACAAGAATGGTGACATGATGCCACTTTAACAATGGTTAAAAAGCTAACTTTTTTGGTTTTGTTTGTTTGGGTTTTATGTCACACCGGCACAGTATAGGTCATATGGCGACGTTCAAGCTTTACAAGCGGAGGAACGAATGGGCACCTGAGTAGAACCACCGAGGTTCTGTAAGCTAACTGCATAGTTTCCTCACATGAAAAAATCCAAAGTCCCTGTTATATTCAAACCCACAGTGCAAGGGGGAATTAGTTTGAAGTCACCAACCTTAACCACTTGCAACAGACATCCCCCTTTTAGTAATGTTGGATTTTAAATGACTCTGTACCGGTCAAAAGGTCAAATGGCGACTTTCCAACTTATCATTGCAACAAGGGACCTAAGTAGAACACTAGCTGCATAGCTTCCTCAACTGAAATAATCCTAAATCTCTGATGGAATTCGAACCTGCAACCTCGCCAGGGCAAGTGATTTTAACTCGATGACATCAATTTGCCACTTACGCCATAAACTTAAACTGAAAATTTATTTTAAGCCCAGTGACCTTGATCCTGTCGACTACTTAATTTTACTATTCCGATATCTACAAATGGACTATTCCGATATCTACAAATGGACGATTCCGATATCTACAAATGGACAATTCCGATATCTACAAATGGACTATTTGTAGATATCTACAAATGGACGATTCCGATATCTACAAATGGACGATTCCGATATCTACAAATGGACTATTCCGATATCTACAAATGGACGATTCCGATATCTACAAATGGACGATTCCGATATCCACAAATGGACGATTCCTAAATCTACTAATGGACGATTCCTATATCTACAAATGGGCTATTCTGATATCTACAAATGGACTATTCTGATATCTACAAATGGACGATTCCGATATCTACAAATGGACGATTCCGATATCTACAAATTGACTATTTGTAGATATCTACAAATGGACGATTCCGATATCTACAAATGGACTATTCTGATATCTACAAATGGACTATTCCGATATCTACAAATGGACGATTCCGATATCTACAAATGGACGATTCCGATATCCACAAATGGACGATTCCTATATCTACAAATGGACGATTCCTATATCTACAAATGGGCTATTCTGATATCTACAAATGGACTATTCTGATATCTATAAATGGACTATTCTGATATCTATAAATGGACTATTCTGATATCTATAAATGGACTATTCTGATATCTATAAATGGACTATTCTGATATCTACAAATGGACTATTCTGATATCTACAAATGGACTATTCTGATATCTACAAATGGACTATTCTGATATCTACAAATGGACTATTCTGATATCTACAAATGGACTATTCTGATATCTACAAATGGACTATTCCGATATCTACAAATGGACTATTCTGATATCTACAAATAGACTATTCCGATATCTACAAATTGACTATTCCGATATCTACAAATGGACTATTCCAACCTCAAATCAGATCCATAACAATTTAACAGGAACAGGATCCTCTTGTTTAATTCACAAGAATCACATGACGATTACATACATAACGGAGATCAAACAATAACTACAGTTAAACTAAAATGTGAGAAATAAAAAGACATAGAAATGTGTAACAAGAGGGCCATGATGGCCCTGAGGTCGCTCACCTGTATATAGCCCCCCCGCCCAACCCCCACCCCCCCCCCCCAACGTTGCAGGGCCAATTTAAACCCAAGGGCTTTTATTTGCACAAACTTGGTAGACACCCATAAGAAGATGTTTCATGCTAAACATCTAAGCTCTAGCTCATTGGTCTTTTTAAAAGAAGATTTTTTTTAAAGTTTTTACTATACACATATAGTTAAAAACAATGACACCCCTGGGGCCGGGCCAGTTTTGACTCCAGGGCTTTTATTTGAACAAACTTTGTAGACACTTACTAGAAGATGTTTCATGCTTAATATCTAAACTCTAGCTATTTGGGTTTTTTCAAAGAAGATTTTAAGTTTTTGCTATACACATATAAAGAAAATCAATGACCCCCGGGGCGGGGCCAATTTTGACCCCAGGTCTTTTATTTGAACAAACTTTGTAGACACTCACTAAAAGATGTTTCATGCTTAATATCTTAACTCTAGCTATTTGGGTTTTTTCAAAGAAGATTTTTTAAGTTTTTGCTATACACATATAAGGAAAATCAATGACCCCCGGGGCGGTGCCAATTTTAACCCCAGGGCTTTTATTTGAACAAACTTGGTAGACACCTATTAGAACATGTTTGATACTAAATATCTTAGCCATATCTCTTTGAGTTCTTTAAAAGAAGATTTTTTAAGTTTTTACTATATGCATATAGGGAAAATCAATGACCCCCCGGGGCGGGGCCAATTTTGACCCCAGGGCTTTTATTTGAACAAATTTGGTAGACACTTATTAGAACATGTTTCATTGCTAAATATCTTAGCTCTAACTCTTTTGGTTCTTTAAAAGAAGATGTTTTAAGTTTTTACTATATGCATATAGGGAAAATCAATGACCCCCCGGGGCATGGCCAATTTTGACCCCAGAGCTTTTATTTGAACAAACTTGGTAGACACCTATTAGAACATGTTTGATGCTCAATATCTTAGCCATATCTCTTTGAGTTCTTTAAAAGAAGATTTTCTAAGTTTTTACTATATGCATATAGGGAAAATCAATGACCCCCCGGGCGGGGCCAATTTTGACCCCAGGGCTTTTATTTGAACAAACTTGGTAGACACTTATTAGAACATGTTTCATGCTAAATATCTTAGCTCTAGCTCTTTGGGTTCTTTAAAAGAAGATTTTTTAAGCTTTTTCGATATGCATATAGGGAAAATCAATGACCCCTTTGGGCAGGGCCAATTTTGACCCCAGAGCTTTTATTTGAACAAACTTGGTAGACACTCACTAGAAGATGTTTCATGCCAAATATCTAAGCTCTAGCTCTTATGGTTTTTTTAAAAGAAGATATTTAAAGTTTTTTCTTTCGGTTGCCATGGCAACCAGAGTTCTGCATGGAATTAAATTCTTTCAACAATTTTTAAAGGTGACCACCAAAGGAACATTCCTGTGAAGTTTGGATGAAATTGGCTTAGTGGTTTATGAGGAGATGTCATTTAAAGTAAAAGTTTACGGACGGACGACGGACGGACGACGGACGGACGCCGGACGAAAAGCGATCACAAAAGCTCACCCTGTCACTTTGTGACAGGTGAGCTAAAAACAAAGTGAAATCTTGAAAGAAGTTATTCTGGGAAATATATGCTTAGCACAGTGAGTCACTTACTTAACAACCAATAGTATTAAGAATAATTTTCCAGAAATTTTAGAAGACAAGTGCAAAATAATTTTTCATGTCATCATTTTCTTCAAAATTTAAATCGGTAACATTCATAATATTATGTAAAATTGAATTCTTTCAGATGATAACGTATGAAATATTATTCAACATCGGCCTTTAATAAGAAAGATAGTTATATATACCTCTGCAGAAGCATCTTTGGTCTAAATTGACATTGGGAAATAAAATATTCAGATTAAAGAACTAAACTATTGTGTTTATAAAAACAATATAACAAAATAAAATCAGAATGTTCATACAGCGTTTTAATTAAAGTGTCTCTTAAAGGTGAAAATGCTTGAAAATGTAGGAAAAATTTCGGACATATACAATATGTACACAGTACAGGCACAAAGTTAGACTAGTAGAAATTTGTAACATAATTTCCCCTAAAAAGGTGCATAGAATCGTATTTAACGTAACATATTTTATTTCATTAAAATTTCTTTACAGTCAGAATTTTTTGCTTGTTTGTCAGTAAATAGTGTAATATACTGGAGTTATATATTAAAGCAAAACATATTTAATAGCCAAGTGTTAGTTACATATGGTTACCAATTAAAAGCAAAGTGTACAATTCCACAATTTTTCTGCCCTTTGGTGTAAAGAAATTGGATAATTTGCTTTCCTTAAAAGCTAATTTTGACATTAGTTTCTAAGTCAGCATGAATATGCCACTTTTGCAAAACAACAGTACATGCCTGACATTTGGTCAGGCTATCCAGAATATTTTCATTCTAATGTCAAATAAATATTTATTGACAATTTCTTTTATGAATGATTAATCATGCCTGACTAGTCACACGTTGGAGTTATCTTGGCTACTCTGCCATTATGACTTACAATATTAGATAGGCAACATTCTGGAAACCTGGGTAGAAAATTTATGAATTTGTACATTTTATATTTGAATATACTGGCTTTATAATGGTGTATATAAAGCTATACAGATGCATTCACAATGTCAATAAAAAATATTGATTTAAATACACAACTGCATCATAATTATATTCTCACCTCAGTTATCACGCCAACAACATATGGTGATAAAAATCCCGTCACAGCTGCAATAGAGTTTGTGATACCAAACAATATTCCCGCAAACGCTGGAGCAATGTCCATGTGGTTTACAATCCATCCGCTGTACTGGAACCCGGTTGTTGCCACGCCAAGAACCAGCAGGGCAATAGCAAAACCAGGCTGGGTACAATCCACGTAACCTAGACATATCAGTAGAGCAGCTGGCAACAACATTCCTAGAAAATAAATAAAATACAATCATAGACAATAAAATAACTACAAAACATTCCTATGAAACAAAATGAAAACAAAAGTGTATACATTCTTTGAAAATTAAATGAACACATTGGCACCCCTTTATAATGCTTTAATTGGGATCCAAGGACTTAAAAAGCAATATATACAGGTTTTTATATATGATATTCATCTAGAGATCAGATTGTTGAAAGGAAGAAATTCATTGTATTACCCCAACCACATACATACAACGGCAACTTTTTGTTATATTTCAATCAATGCAAATCATTTTAATATAATAATAAATCTATTTCTTAATCATGTAAACAATTGAAACAAATATTATGATGGAAAATATTATTAGGCAATGTACTTCTATTAGAACAACGAAGAGCTGTCCATAAGACAACATGCTCGACTATTCTCAGTGCTTGATAGCAAAAAAAGAGCTTGGATAATATAGAAAAATCTGGGTTCAAAAGGGGCAATAATTATGTCAAAAATTAAACTGTGACTTAACAGCCTAGTATAGCCTCACTTTACCTGTGATGGTAAAAGCCTTTCTTGCGATGGTTATAGAACAACAGCCTTTAGACATTATAAAATCAGCAATCCAGCCTGACACATTTATCATGGCCCAAAACACTATGTACGGTAACGCAGAAAACAAACCATTCTGAAATATTACAGGAAAAAAAAATCAAGAAAATAATAAACAAAGTCACATGTTACATGTTTGTTTGATTGGGTTTTACGTCACACTGACAAGAGTATAGGTGACCTGGTCATATGACGATGTTCCAGCTTTACTAAAGAAAGACGTCAAAGTGCGCTTCAGTGCATTATTTGAAGCATAAACGGGCACCTGAGTAGAACCACCAATGTTCTCTAAGCTAGCTGGATAGACTAAATAAATGGAAAAGTTTACACCATTTCAGACCTCTCAACATTATATTGACTTCCCAGAGAGCCTGTAACCGTCAACAGACTTTCAGTTCGAGTCTGTTAAATGTTTGATGGTCAACTGTTTGGACACTATAATGGTAAAAAGCTCTCGGCAATGTGTACTATTTTTCATATAATAGCATATCTCTTATTTTAGAATTTTGCATCAATCTTTTCTATTTCTCTCTGAAACAAAATATTATTTTGCTAATTTAAAGTAGGGTTTTATCTGTTAAGCAATGATTTCATGCATGTGGCATTAGCTTTTTTTAACAATTTACTAACATATTTGCTTCATACAAGCATTTTGGAAGAATTCTTGAATTTTTTTTAATTCTTATAAAAAATTTTTACAGTTGATATATTGCTTAATACACTTCAATACTTACAGCAGATATGTCTAGTTTTAACACTTCATTCATATATGTTGGTATACTAGTTAACAAAGTATATGTTCCCCAGTCAGTGGTAATGTTAGCTACCAAAATGGCTATCACAGGCATTGATAGGGCCATGCCCTTCCATGGAACATCTAACTTCTGAAAAATTAAATTAACTGTTAGTCGTAGTATTTTTCCCAGTTTATGATAAAATAGTTTTTCCGTGGTAAAAAGTTTTTTATTGTAGCTTAACAGATGTTATCCGGAACACTGCAAATGTGGGTTTTTCTGAGCTAATGCCACGGTACAAACTAACTTTTACTGTCATAGCTTCACGGTGCACTACAGGTCAATATAGATTAGTCAACCTGTTGCGCTTACTATTAAAGCTGTAACTGCAGTCTGTGCGAAAGTCCGTCGGTCCTCGGTCCTGGCTGAATAAAACTTGTGCGGTCCGAGAAAAATTCCTTTCCGTCAGTCCTTATGTCCGAATAAAATTTCAAAAAGTTAAAAATATTAATGACCTGATTGATAAGTTCCCGATGATGCAAAGAATTTATTAAAGAAGATATTGACCAACCTTAGATCTATTTTGTACATGTCAAATAAATACCAGTCAACTCTGTCTTCAAAAAGTTTCATCAACAACGGTAACTTTTGCCGTAAATTACAAATTTGAAAATGTTGTTTTAGGATGCCTGTTGAAATAGCCGATGAGTAACAAACTCAAAATAATAAAAAAATATTTAATCAACAAGTAGAATTTTGAATGTTTCTGCAGGAAACAGACAAATTTTCAATTGTCACATATTTTCGAGATGCCGCTTTTTATAATTAAAAAAATCGTAAACAAAAGGAAACTTTGTTTTGTTAAAATGTGTGTAATAACACTTAAATGTAGTTTAGGAATTAAAATTACTAAAGATATTGTTCACATTAGTTGAGATGGAGGTATTTAACCAGTATGTGTTTGTCACATACAATGAATATTTTCTTATGGGAGATGGGTTCGTGGAGTGAATCAGGAAGAAAACAGCATAATGGTCTAATGATGTAGGGTTTTTGAAATTATATTTCAAATCTTTTCAATCACTTTTACGGTACAGTGTATTTCATTTGGGACATACTACCATTTTCCTGAATAAGCTTTTTCTCTGTTCAAACTCCAACTTTTCAAAACCTAGCTTACTCCACTAATATACATCATATTCGTCAACTGCATAAGTGCAGTAAAGTTGGCTTAACATATTCAAAGTGCTCAGTGCTACTACTTTTCTGTGCTTGGGAGTCCAAGAACTCCTCCTTTGAAAATCCTAGTGAGCACCCTGCTTAAGTTATTTCAATTGGTCAGCATCTTCTTATGTTTCTATATGGATGGTCTTACTAATTTAAAGAAAGACAATCATTTTTGCATTCAATCGTGTTAATATAAAATAATGCTTGAAATGTCTGGGCCGGAAAAATATCATCCGGGCCGGAAATAAACCTAAGGGTCTCGGTCCTTGTGGCCTGAAAAAAAAAATGACTTTCGCATAGACTGTAACTGTAAAGGTTTGTTTGTAACAACAGGTTAGCTGGGAAAAATAGTAAGTCTATTGCTATGATAGCTATCATCTGTACTGTTAGAACCATATCCTTGCATGGAACAACTAAGTTTTAAATGAAATACTTGGGCCGAAGGTCATAAGAAAAGTCGGCACTTATTTTGAAAAATTCCCTAACCCTTATGAATGCTTTTGTCCAGATTAAAAGATGGACAAGTTCACATCATAATTGACATAAATTTATTCCATACATTTTAGAAATTTACAGTGGTAAGAGTAAACAACCTTTGAACCTATGTATCATTTATAAGCAAGTTATGGCTGAATAAATTCTGTAGAACCTATTTATTAAGGGTAGCAAACTCAACAATTATCAAAAATTGACGCAATAACGTATCTCAAATACTGTATAAGTGGATATTTCCCTGTGTCGAAAAGTTAGGAAAATTTAAAATTGCAGACATTTAGCGTGAGGATAGAATTTAATGTCAGGTTGGTTGATATTTATGCTAGAGGTAATTATAGCAATTTTCGTCAATTCGTGAAATTCGCAAATATTTCCATGTCGCTAACTTAACCACTTATACAGTACTGTACACATCTCAAACTAACCTTATCACCATCTGAGTTAACGCTATCTTTCAGGGCATGTTTAATGTAATTTCTCTCAGCTTTGGTTATTCTCTTATGTTGAGATGGGGTATCGCTCACAAAAAACATCCACAGAACAAACCAAACAAAACTTAATATTCCTGAAATTGAATGAGAATGACATTTCATAGAAAAATAATAATTTGATAACAAAAACTCCTCACTTTATAAATGGACCAATCAAAAATCAACTTTAGCACTACATAACAAGCATCGAACATGCTTGTAAGTCATGTATTTCAAATAACATTATAAAACATATGAGCTGTGTCATGACAAAACCAACATAATGGGTTTGTGACCAGCATGGATCAAGACCAGCCTGCGCATCCGCGCAGTCTGATCAGGATTCATGCTGTTTGGTATCAGTTTCTTTACTTGTAATAGGGTAAGTAAGCGAACAGCATGGATCCTGATCAGACTGCGCGGATGCGCAAGCTGGTCTGGATCCATGCTGCTCGCAAACGCACTATGTTGGTTTTGTCGTGACGCGGCTCATATATTTCCTCTTTCTAAGAAAAACACATTTGAGATGGTCATTTTGGCCTACAGCTGCCTTCTATGCACAAAATTATTACCCTTTCTTGCAATTTGCTACAACTACAGGTCAATTTTTCTTATAAATCACTAATGCCAAAACTCATCTTAAGAATACATCTGTATATCTCAGAACTGATATTGACCTTATACCACTAACCAGGGCTTCCATTAGCGGACGTTTGGGAGTCATTTTACTGCTGATTTTGGCTTGTGACTTCCAAAATATAATGCTTTTTTCCTTCTTTACCTATATAATGTGACTTCCAGTGTCAGACATTTTGCAGTCTCGAACTTCCATATTTTGCGACTTAATGGAATCCCTGTTATACAATGTATATCAGTGGTGTAAAACAATGATTGCAGGGCAATATAAACATTTATTTCTCTTGTGACAGTGTTATGTATCTATATACATACCTAATACATAAAATATAGATGGCCAACCACCAGCAAACCCGTATTTACAGAGTAGACCTGCTAGAGGGAACGTTATAACATTGCCTACCTGTGCTCCTGAAAATACACATTTATATAAATGTTAAATCTATATTATAAAGCATAAATAATTTCCAGTTAGTTCATCCACTTTCCATTAAAAATCTCAACAGTGAATATTTCCATATTAAGAATTAATTTTACTTTCCATTAAAAATCTCAACAGTCAATATTTCCATATTAAGAATTAATTTTAATTTCTCCCCGTCACATGTACATGTACGAGCTTTTTTATTAAAGTAACATACATGTAATAGTATGAAAGTCATGACTGTTTTATATAAAAAATTTATTCAAAATAGAATCATGACATAAATAATCATTTATATAAATGTTGAATCAGAGACATAGATAACATCTATGTCTCTGGTTGAATCAAAGTTACGACATAAACAATTTTAATGGTAAGGTTTTGTTTTTTCATTGACAAAGTACATGTATATTATTACAAAAATCACCAAAAAAGTATTTTTTCCAAATTAATTTGTAGTGCTCTGTAAATGTACATTTTACCAAAATAGCTAAAATGCTTTGTATACAGTACATACATGTATATAAGTAAATGTTTTATATAGGGCAGTAACGGAACATACAATGTTGTATGTAGTGTTAATACCAGAAAAACAATTAAATGCTTTATCAATGGTAAATAACAATCACAGAGGCTTTTTTCCATGATTTTAAGAACATGACCCATACCTATGGAATTGGGAATTTCAGCGATGTTTTGTTAAAAATTGGGAAAAAAATGCATGATTGAAATTTTGCAGTGATTTAATTAATGCAAACAATCTTTGTCTAGGATAGCATCTCCAAACACTTAAACACTTATTACAGTGAAGAAGCCCTTATTTTCAAAGATTTTAGAATTCTTTATTCAATATTTTCATTTTGTAACTTTCATTTGGGAATATTTTCCTGTGGATTGGGAAAATAATATACTATTTTCAACTGGGAATATGACCCAATAACGGCTATAAAATTAGCCAAAAAAATCCCTGACAGAGGGTACCTACCAGCATAATAAAAGCTTGCCAAATTTTCTTCGCTCAAATGGTGGGGCCCATTATCCCCACGG